CGGCCGTGCGTTGCAGGGCGGCGGGCGAGGAGCGCGATGCTGGACGCCATGGAGGTGCCGAGCCACTCGCGGCAGCTGCTGCTGCAGCTGAACACGCAGCGCACCAAGGGCTTCCTGTGCGACGTGATCATCGTGGTGCAGAACGCGCTCTTCCGCGCGCACAAGAACATCCTGGCGGCCAGCAGCGCCTACCTCAAGTCGCTGGTGGTGCACGACAACCTGCTCAACCTGGACCACGAGATGGTGAGCCCCGGCATCTTCCGCCTCATCCTGGACTTCATCTACACCGGCCGCCTGGCCGACTGCGAGCCGGGCGGCGAGCAGAGCCTGGGCGCTGTGCTGGCTGCCGCCAGCTACCTCCAGATCCCCGGCCTGGTGGCGCTTTGCAAGAAGAAGCTGAAGCGCAGCGGCAAGTACTGCCACCTGCGCGGGGGCTACGCGCCCTACAAGCTGGGCCGGGGGCTGCGCGCCGCCACGCCGGTCATCCAGGCGTGCTACTCGGGCACGCCGCGGCCCGTGGACCTGCCGCCCGTGGAGCCGGCGGCGCCGCTCAACACGCAGTGCGGCGAGCTCTACGCGTCGGCCTCGCAGGGCGCCCCGCTGCACCCGCACGGGCTCTGCCCGCCCGAGCGCCACTGCTCGCCGCCCTGCGGCCTCGACCTCTCCAAGAAGAGCCCCACCGGCCCCTCCGCCCAGCTGCTGCCCACCGACCGCCTGCTGCCCGGCGAGCCCCGCGAGCCCTCGCTGCCCCCGCGGCACGACAGCCCCCCGGTGAGCGCCGGCCTCCTGGCCGGCCACGCCGCCGCCTACAAGGACTCGCCGCCGGGCGGCGAGCCGGGCGGCCACCCGCACGCCGCCGACCCGTTCCGCGGCACGCCGCCCTGCGCCGAGCCGCCGCTGCCCCGCGCCGACGGGCGCGAGCTCATGTACCGCTGGATGAAGCACGAGCCCCTGGGGCCCTACCTGGACGAGGCCGAGGCTGAGAAGGAGCTGGAGCGGGAGGAGAAGGGCGAGTCGCCGCCCGCGGCGCCGCAGCCCCGCTACCCCAGCGTGGAGAGCAACGACCTGGAGCCCGACAACAGCACCAGCGAGGACACGGGCAGCAGCGAGGGCCCCTCGCCCGGCGACGCGCTCGACCGCTACTGCAACCACCTGGGCTACGAGCCCGAGAGCCTGGGCGACAACCTCTACGTGTGCATCCCCTGCGGCAAGGGCTTCCCCAGCTCGGAGCAGCTCAACGCGCACGTGGAGGCCCACAACGAAGAGGAGCTCTATCACAAGGCGGCCGCCGAGCAGGCCGTGCCGTTCCTGGACAAGGGCGGCCCGGGGCTGGGCGACATCCTGCGGCCCTACCGCTGCTCGTCCTGCGACAAGTCCTACAAGGACCCGGCCACGCTGCGGCAGCACGAGAAGACGCACTGGCTCACGCGGCCCTACCCGTGCACCATCTGCGGCAAGAAGTTCACGCAGCGCGGCACCATGACGCGCCACATGCGCAGCCACCTGGGCCTCAAGCCCTTCGCGTGCGACGCGTGCGGCATGCGCTTCACGCGCCAGTACCGCCTCACGGAGCACATGCGCATCCACTCGGGAGAGAAGCCCTACGAGTGCCAGGTGTGCGGCGGCAAGTTCGCCCAGCAGCGCAACCTCATCAGCCACATGAAGATGCACGCCGCCGGCCCCGACGGAAAGGCCAAGCTGGACTTCCCCGACAGCGTCTACGCCATGGCCCGCCTCACCGCCGACCAGCTGGGGCTCAAGCAGGAGAAAGCGGCCGAGCTGCTCTCGCACACCTCGCACTTCCTCAGCGACCCCAAGGCCATGGAGAGCCTCTACCCGCTGGCCAAGTTCACGGCCGAGCACCTGGGGCTGAGCCAGGACAAGGCGGCCGAGGTGCTGGCGCAAGCGCCGCACCTGCACGCCGAGGCCGCCCGGACCATTGAGCGCTACTCGCCGCCCTAGCGCTCGCTGGGGCCGCGCTCCGGCCGC